AGGACAGTTTTGAGGAATTTCTGCGTGAGAAATTAGTCCTTTTGACTTTGTGGTTCCCTTCTGACTAAAAGTTATATGATACAGTGTAGAAGACCACATGATAATGAGGATCCAGGCCTAATTGACCTACTCTGTGGACACCAAGGAGCAAATGAGTGGGCAAATGAGCAGGCATGTTAGCTCTTGCAAGTTCCAGGGGAAGAGTGAACACAGCTGAGATGCAGTTGCTTACCTGGTCATGTACGATAGCTAACAGGAAGCAGATGAATCTTGTGTGACTCTAATTGCTTGCTCCCATGTCTAAGTGAGGTGAGCCAAATGTTCAGGGCTCTTGTTCAGGGCAAGAGGTCCTGGGTCCTCTTTTAAATTAATTCTGTGCATTTTAGTTTTTCTTTTTCCTTTTCTTTTTTATCAATACCAGGGATCAAACTCACGACTGCCTGCTTGCAAGGCAGGTGCTTATGCCACTGAGCTAAATCCCCAGCCCCCATTTTAGTTTTTCATTCTTATTTTCCTCCCAGTTTGCAAAAACTTGTAGGCTGGGTCCTATAAGTGGTGCCCGAACAGGGACCCAAGCAGGGAAGGTCTGCTTGGGTGTGTAGTGAGTAAGCAACTACAGTTGCTTTTTCACAGTGGACAGGAGCCAAGCGGGCCAGCAAAAGAAAAAAGAAAAATGATAAAGGGAATGTGCATGCCCACAGAAAACCTTTTCAGCAAGGATAATGGGGCAGAATTTGTCAACTGAAGTAGTTTTATACACCTTCATTGGAAATTCTGTTGTGCGACTCTGGAGCTCAACTTAGTATCCAATTACTTTTTCATGTATTACAAGACATTATCAAACATAATCTTTGGTCTCCTCAGAGTGGCATAGTTGATGTAGAAAGTTAGCATCAAGTGGGAGAAGGCTGAGAGCATGGCTGCACTCAGGACTGTTATATCTCCTGAAACTTTCTCCTTATGGAGTTTGAGCCATATAGTTATTTGTTCCTTAGCCTCTGGAAAACATCCTACACTGAGTGCACCTGAGAGAAGATTAAAAATGAGGGTGAAGAGCTCAGGTCCTCTTCTCTTTCTCCTCTTCTTCCTGTTTCCCTTTTATCTGTGGTTGATAGAGAAGTCGTGTTTCCTTTATCAAAGATTGGTTAGACAGGCTTCACTTAACAGAGAGTATTCTGGGACATGTGTGGTCCCAATTAATATTCATCCCAAACTTAACAATCCACAACAAAATGTTCATAAGCAGAATATTCTTGAGTATAAGTTGCTTAAAGAATTAAAATCCACTGTCATAAACAATGGGGTTCAAGCACCTTTCATGTCAGGCATGCTGGAGTTTGCCCTAGGAGCTTTATGCTTGGCTCCTTTAGACAATGAGCATTTGGCTAGGTGCTGCCTTTCTGCAACCCAATATTTAAATTTCCATGTTAATTTTTATAATGGTTGATACACTGTGTCAACTTGAGAAGTTTCCAAGTTTAAGCAACTCAGCAGGGAGCTAGGGTTTTTACTTTGTAAATATCTTCAGCCTGTGCCACAAGTGGGCACTGAGGTGGTGTGAGTTTGCTACACCTGTCCTGGGTGGGTGGTAGCCTGCTTACATATAAGGGAGGACAAGCGGCTCGTTCTCCTCCCATTTGCTCTTGCTGCCTTCTCCCACCTTGAACTACTGCCCCTGTGCCAGGCCATCCTGCCTTGGAGTTGGCTGATTATGGACTGAAGCCTCCACAAAATGTCAGCTGAATAAACCTTTCTTGCCTTAATTTAGGGCATCAGGTATTTTTAGCAATGAGAGAAAAACAAGCAGGACAGTCTTGAAGAATTAGCAGCTTAACAACAACAGAATTAAGGGGCAGAACATCCTGTGATTACTGAGGATATGCTGTTAGGAACAGGTCCATACTCAGATCTAGTTCCCAGTTAACCCTTCCAGACCAGGTTGATCAGCAAATAGCTCTCATGATGAACAATCCTGGGCAACTTTCCTGAGGAAAGCACTCCCACTCAGTCCTTTTTACATATTCTTCTGGGCTCATGGGAGCCTATGTCCAATTCTTACCCCGGTTACAAGGAGGTGCCTGGTGAGATACCTCATGCCCAAGCAGCAAAGAATTTTGTGTTGCAGGTGGCTTTTGAAAATGCTAATAAGGACTGTGAACAAACACTAGGGGCCATCTGAGCAACTAAAGATCTCTGAAACTATTGTAAAAGTATGCCAAGATATGGGTACTGAAGGTTGTAAGTCCTTTATGTTTGCTCAAATTATGTTTGGTTTAATTAAATAAAATCAGGCTTCTTCAAAAATACAATGTTTTGGTTATGGCAAAGCAGGGCATATCTGTAAACAGTGCATCCAGGCAAGAAAGGTACAATTGCCCCTCTCTCCTGGAGGGGAAAGCGCTGACCCCTTGTCCTGGATGTCACAAAGGAAATCATTGTCCTAATCAATGTCACTTTATTATCGAGATGGCATCTCACAAAGGGGTGGGGAGGGAATGAGCTGTAGGCCTGACCCCCAGGCCCAACAAACAATGGCTCAGGCTCACAGCTCCAATCCTCAGTGGGTCTCTGGAGGACAGTTGAATTTCCTATCACCCCACGAAGGACAGGAAAAAACCTTCCCACTGCAGAACCGGTGACTTCAACTGGCCGACATAAACCTGTTAAAATCTGGGAACCTTTTCTCTTAGATTCTGTGGGTCTAAAGGAAAAAAAGTAGATTAAACCTACAGCGTGTTGAAATATTCCCTGGAATTATTGATTCAGATTATTTGGGAGAAATTCAGGTTGTAGTTCACTCATGTGATGTTTGGGTTTTTGAACCAGATTATATCGCTCAACTCATCAACCAGCTCTCAGAACTACAGTTTTAAGCTGAGAAGCTAACGACTTAACTGCACCTCCCTTAAAGAGATGTTCTTTACTAAAGATATCACAGGCCACAGGCCCACGAATACTGAGATCAAAGGAAAATGAGCCAGGTGTGGTGGTGCATGCCTGTAACCCCAGCACTTGGGAGGCGGAGGATTGCCATGAGTTTGAGGCCAGCCTAGACTACATAGTGAATTCAAGTCCAGCTTAACTACATAGTGGGACACTGTCTCAAAAAAAAAAAAAAAAAAAAAACAAAAAAGGAAAATGTTTGGAGAGCTCATGGACACAGATACAGATGTAGGGATGGCTTCTTCTCAGTGATCAGCTGTGCAGCCCACAGGAACAGCAGCCACTTCCCTGGTGGGCCTCAGATCGCCCACATTATGCAGAGTGCTACACCTCTACTTTATTGTAAACCCTGATAGCTGTAGGGGAACCTTTCAGCTATTTATTTATTGCAGGGATTCCAGTCCATTTGGGGGGCAGGGATCTGCTGAGAGAATGGTAAATTCCATATTCATGAGGCAGTCCCACAGCTTGCCGTTCCCCCCTTCATGTCCACAGGAAAGGTCAGTTAGTCCTCAATCCCCATTTTCCAGTCTCCTAACAGCTCCCCCTTTTTGTTTTTGTAATAGCAGTGACTGACTATCCATCACTGCTTCTCATCCTCAGGGTAAGTAAACAGGTGTAGTCATTCTATCTTTTGTCTTGAGGTCTGGCCTTTAATGACTGTGCCTTCACCTACAGTTGAATCTGTACTGGCTCCTTGTGAGGGCCTAGCCCTTGTCTTGACTGCCTGTATTATTTATAACTAACTTAGCTGGCCCCCCTCCGAAGAAGCATCTCTAATGGTCTCTGGGAGGCAAGGGGTGAAGACTCTTCTGGCTACTTGTGGCTAAAGAGGGTCATAGTTGTGATTGGCAGGCAGAGATACTCTCCAGAGGGCTTCAATAGAAATCAGCCATTCGTAATGTGGGCAGGCATGCAGTCTTGAGTGTACTGTGATATTAATCACAGCAATGAGATTATCTGGTGTTCTGGGAAGGCTTTGACAGTGGACAAGTCATCCTGCCTTTTCTTCAGATGTCATCTGAGAGGTTTTCACTGATGAGAAGAGCAGAGCTCCACCGTGGGGGGAGTTCCTCCACGATCACATGCTTTTACAGGGGACCCACACCTGTCCATTTCCTGCAGTGACACAAGCAAATCTCTGAGTAACCAGTCCCTCCCATTTCCCCATCTCCAGGGACAGCTATAATACTCGTGCTTTCTCCTTTTTCCCATGTTCTTCTACTTTTAACCAATGTAATTCCACTGGGATGCAATCTATATCACCAACAGAATTCAAAAAATTAAATGTAAGCAAGCTGTTACCCCTTTGGCAAATGAGCAGGCATGTTAGCTCTTGCAAGTTCCAGGGGAAGACTCAACAGAGCTGAGATGCAGTTGTGTACCTGGTCATAGCTAACAGGAGGCAGATGAATCTCATGCTACGCTAATTGCTTGCTCCCATGTCTAAGTGACTAGAAATGGGGTGAGCCAAATGCCCAGGGCTCTTTGTCCACTAGACACAAGAGTTCCCAGCCCTTCTTTGTAAATTAATTCTGTGTCTTTTTCTTCATCCTTGTTTGCCCACCCCCCGCCGTCAGATACAAACTTGTAGGCTTGTTCCTACAATATAGGTAATATATATTTATAGAAATATTAGTAATAGTATCCTAAATTCTAGTTTACTCTCCTATGTATGAAAAAGCAAAATACCTGATTATTCGCTTACATAAGATTCCTTAAGAGAAAAATAGATACACTTTTCCAACAGACATTTATTGAGCTTCTATCTTGCGCCTAGTGGTGTTATTGTACTACATGTATAACAATGACCAGAGGTGGTTCTTACCTGTATTGACAAAGTGAGGATGAGAGCAAAGGATGTGATACAGGACGGTGGATATTTATATATGCATCTATGTCCCATAGCACTGATTCCTATATGATTATTAATTTAATATTTAGTAATACTATAAAAATATAAAATCTAATTTAAAAACAGAAGTGTTAATATTTTAAATAGACCGAGTCTGGAAGAAGACACAGAAAATTATATTTAATCAGATACTAAGGCCAGAAAAGAGAACAAATTATTTAATTTTATTAAAAAGTTCCAGTTTATAACCAAAATATACAACCACTACATTTAAAAGTTTGTACACTCACAGTTAAAGTGCTAAGAAAAAACATTTACAAAAACTGACATCAGTCTACTGTAAACAAAATGAATCTACAAGAGCAGAGAGCAAAGCACACCCGGCTGTGTGAGGGACAATTCATGCTCTAACCAAGCGCACTTGCCCTGTTCAGATCCCAGCAACGGCAACGTTCCCACTCATCTGGAAATGCATGAACACTCTTGATAAATGCAGAAAAAAGGAACAGGAAGAACTAATGCCACAAAAATACAGTCTTCAGTGTAAACATTAACTAGATGTGTATATGATAAAGCAAAATTAAAATTCCAGAATCAATTTTGAATCACCTCAGCAATTTAATTCAGTGTAGGGTTTAAAAAAACTAAATTGCTAAGTACCAGCTATTTAGAAATAATACTCTTTTAGAGTGAGAAGGATCATCTTTCCTGCCCTTACATCTCTTGACCAATTGTGGGCTACAGTAAAATGGGAGCTTAATTTTACAAGGACGGATGGTATTTACCTGTAAATTTCCTACCAATGAGCAGAGCTGGAAGAGAGACCTAGCAGTGAGCTGAGGTAGAATGAGATGGAAACACAGTCTTATATTTGATGAGGGGCCGGGGATTTAGCTCAGCAACAAAGTGTCTCTAACAAGCACAAGGTCCTGAGTTCGATTCCCAGTCCAGACAAAAAGACTCTGATGAGGGAAATCTGGGATGCACCAGACATCCCTTTACTGAAGGAGAAAAACAGAATCAGCAGCCTGATTTCACAAGACCCATAAATACAGTGACCCGCTCCCTTCTTCAAGGTCACTGAAAGCATACAGTACTTCCAGATATCACATGGCTTCAGGGTAAGGGAGCAGAGTTCTAAGTTAGGTCACTTTGTGGTATTTCTTGCCTCAAAAGAGCCTCACCAACACTAACAAAATAATTTTCACTTTTGTTTTAAAGTTCAATATTTTGCTCATTGAGGCTAATTTGGGCAACATCAACAAGTTTGCTTTTAAATGCAGATTTCTATAACTGACATAAAAGGCTAGAGTCATTAAGGTTTTAATATGAATGGGTTAAAGCAAATTTCTACTTCTGAGCATGTGAAATGGTCAGTTTGGAAGTACTCATACGGACATTAGGGATGCAAGAGGTGGACAGAAAAGTTTCGGGGATGCATCCGTTGAGGAGCAGGTCAGACACAGTATGCACATGGGCAGGGAGCAGAGTATCATAAACACACTGTCTTGGAAGAAGTACACTGAACAATCATTGAGATTAAAGTTAGCTTTCTCCACTGTAAAAAGTGAACCAGAAACAAGATGCCTGCAGTAATTCTAGAGTGTACTATGCACTAGATTAGCTTTTGTTGGCTGTTCTCCTTATTATTCATAATAATCTAATTTATTTGGGGAGACATAATCTAAGTTTGGAACAACCTAATAAAACAACTTTCTAGATCAAAAAACTGAGTTTCTTGAACAGGAGCTTCATCTTTTTATATGCATTTTTATACTCACAGACTTTCATTCTTATACCATGAAACATAAGTGTAAAGAAAATGTTTAAGTGAAACTTTATAGACACTTGACTATATAACATAGTATTCATTATTTTATAGACTGTCTACCAAGAGGATAAAATTCTTAGTAAAATTTGAGTCAACACTAGAAGTAAGGAGTTACTCTGCCTCTAAGTGATACAGACTAATACGTACTTTGATTACTCTGATAACATCTAAGCTTGAAAACTATACATGGATTTAATGAAAGGTGTATATAATGAAAGGCGAAAGATAGTGCTTTAATTTGATAAAGTACTTTTAAAGACCCAAGAATTTATAGCAATAAGACAAAGCAGAATTTTCTTGAAAAGACTGGTTTTCTGTAGAGTCTCCTTCATAAAGCCTGATAGGCAATAAAAAGAGCTGGGATGAGAGCTTAATATGAATATTCTAAAAGACCTTTTGTTTGGTTGTTTCTTGACTACATATTATGAAATTGTTAACATTTGGTCATTTTTGACTTAAAACTGGCAATTTCATATAGCTCAGAAATGCTGCTTAACGATGTTCCTGTAGTAAGAACCTCCTTGGCTTGATTCTCAGACAAAACAAGTAATCTACAACAGTTACGTACTGAGAGAGGACCAGCAACCCATCTAACTTATACAATAATATGCAAGGCCAAGACAGAATAGAAAAAGGCTCAAAAACTGGCTCAGATTAAATAAACATGAGCTCTGGGTATGACATATTACAGAAAGTGAAGTAACTGAAGATCACTATTAACTGTAGATAAATATATATTTACTATCAGATTGAAGTTCAGAAAAGTCTTTTTGTAATTTAAACATTTTAAGTCCAAAGAAACAGCTTCCACAGCTATTTGAAATAACAAAATAAGCAAGTTTAATTTAGCTTTGGAGTTGTCAATAAACTTTTCTTGTCAGGGTTGGAGGAAAGGACAGTGGTAGTGATATCTTCCTCCTGCAAAGTGTTTGTCCAAACTGCAACCACTCCCTCATATGTACAATACTCTTAAGCTTCAATGAGAACTCAAAAAAGATTTGACAATTGAAAATAAAAACAGGAATTGTGTGAAGTTAGTGTTAAAGACATATGAAACAGGATTATCCCAGAGAAGGGAAGGATTACAACAAGATGAATGATAAAACATTCAGGGTTGGCTTGATAACTCACAGCTATGGTACAAACAGCACCTGATGACAAAGAACTTTCAGATTGAGGTTTTTACATGAGAAGAGTCCTTTTCATGAGTTTTAAAATTTGAAGTTCGCATACAAAGAAGACACATTATTATTTTCAAGTATCTATTCACTTCAGCTTACTATAAAAAGAACTGCTTTATTGATCTTGTCAGGAATAAAGTATTTCATGTGCCCCATTGACAAGATTAGTTCAAGGAAAATTTATCTGAGGCAGGAATAAGGGAAGATACCTGTCAATTTCCTTTTCAAAACTGAAAACTGAAGGAGTAGCTAGATAAATAGGAAATTGGTGGATAGATGAATATAAATCACCCTATGATTACTTGGCTTATCTTATAGAATATCTTCTTATCAAAACCCAGAAAATATTCAAAGAAACCACATCTTGGGTCCAAATTTAACAAATATGACGATGAAGACTTGCAAAGCCAGAAAATGGAAAATTTGTTGTCTTTATGAGCACTCTCAATAGCATGACAATATGGTCACGTGTTGTTTATAAAGTGGACACTGTCTGAGAAAGGTGTTGCAAAGCGATTTTGTCTGAGTGAGTATCTCTGGGTATACGCACAATCTAACAAGCCTCTGAGGTCATTATAATCTTATGGGACCATTACAGATGTGGCCTGTCCCTTACTGAAACATTGTTATATGACATGAACATATAGGCATCTCTAATTAAAAGGGTGGTATCTAATTTAATATCTGGGAGCCAGAAGGGTTAGATGATCCAGTGAGATGACATAAGACAAGGAAACAAGTGTAGCTAAAGATATCACACTAGAAGCTCATATACCTTCCTGTTTTAATTTTGTACTATTCTCTCTATATCACACCTCGAACGCAAAACCTGTATTGTAAATCTGAAGACCGGAGTGTTCAAAAGATTGAGATGAGCTAATGTAGATGATCAGAGTGAAGACCATAATCTTTAAAAGGAATATGAAGCTCTTTGGCCTTTTTTTTCAGAGAACACTATTAACCTGCAAGAGAATACTGCTGAAAGATGAACTAAATGGAATCTCGATACTCTACAATAACTGAGGAGCCTTTCTGGAAACATCCTGCATAGCCAGAAAAAATAACAAACCTCACTAATTTATATCTAACTATTTTAAGCAGGACATTTACTTGCCCATGACTACCCAGAAGCTACATTTATTCAAAGAATATAAGAATGCAGTTGAAGAATAACTATAATGGAAAACTTCTATCAGTTCCTTTATTAATTTCTTTCAGATTTTATAATTATTTTAATGTTGGCCAAAACTTACATTTTAAAATGAGAAATGAGCTCCAGTGTTATTACTTAATTGTTCATTAATTTTATCCTGAATTCAGTGCTTAGGATCAAACCCAGAGCCTTGCACATGCTAAGCAAATGCTTTAGCCTAACCTCTGTGAGTTTATTTGTGTAAAGCTCAGGCTGATGAGACATTTTTGTGTAAGAGAACAAAGACCACCAAGTTTTATGACTTTCTTTTCTGTGTATCAATTTCAGGTGCTTACAAAGACTTTTCCCATAAAAAAGGTCAAGGACATTATTTATAACTCTTCACTTTTCTTATCTCTAATATAATCATCCTTTTAAAAAAATTACTCAGATCATAGATGGAAAACAAAGTTAACATATCTGAATCCTATCAAGGTAAGTCTAAATTTCATTAAGAGTACACACTAATCTAATAAATATGGTTCATGGGAAGAACAATAAAAGTAGCCCAGAATTAAAATTATAAAATAGTCAAAGGAGAACCAAATTAGAGCTGGGTGAAATTTGATACAACCTAATCTGATTTCTTCATTCTCTTCATTTACAGGCAAGAAAATAGAGGCTGTAAGAGGTAAATGCTTTGTCCAAGTTATATAGCTCACTGAAAAGAAAGGCAAGACGAAATATACGGCTACCTGACTCAAAATCTTGGTATACTTTTAAAATAATGTCATGTATTTTTAGCAGTCCTTAAAAACCTTTTCCAATTTAGAAAATAGAAACTATTAAACTCTAAGTTAAAAAACAAAATGTCAATAAGCATAATACAAAGAAATATTTACAAATTATGTAAGTTTGTTACATGACAAAAACCTTAGGGTAATAAAAATAATAAAATAATTATCTAACTTAATAATATTATCTATTACTTTTAAAGTATATGTCAGAAAATGTAACAAGCTTGAAAAATTTAAAAATATAACTTTACTGGTTAATGATAACTAGCAGAATCATAGAATACTGACTTAAAATTCTTAACCATTATAAGGTAAAAAATTTTTTCCCTATATGAGAAAACTGGTGTAGTACTTAAAGGGAGAGTAAATTATGAACAATGGGATCAAACCAATAAAAATATCCATAAAGGACACAACAGACTAAGGTGACTTATTTTAAGAATATAATGTAAAGGAAATAATCCCTCAATGCATTTACGTAGATTGAATTAGTTTATATTACAGGGAGCAACATTGTACTGGTTTAGGGTTTGATTAAAGTATTAGTGAAAACTTTACTTTCTTTTATATTTATAATGACAAAGTTTTTACTTTTTAATTAAAGCTCACCAAGTAAGAAATATGCTTATTAACTTACATTAAATCTTTACAAATCAACAAAATAAGAATGCTTACAAAGATGACTGGTTCTGGATAGATTTTAACATTTTCTTTCCTAGAAGCTGTGGATCCTGAAAGAAAGTATAATCCTGTATCAACATGACCATTAAAGAAGTATAGGGTTAAAGTTAGAAAAACCCCAGGAGACTGACTTATAGTCAGATGGAAGGTGAAGGGCATTTAGTCTTCCTTTCCCAAAACTCGTAACTGGAACACAACCAACACACACACGCACACATACCCATGAGGAGAATTAAACTATAGAGATGCCAACATATTTTTTTCATATAAAATAGATCAAACTTACATAAGAATAATGTATGAAGCTGAATAACTAATAGCAAACTGCTATTAGCTACATAGCAAACTGAATTAAATGTAAATATTGTACTTTTTCCCATTTTAACTAGTCATAAAAAGGTTAAAAGAATCAAGAGTTCCTTTGTAAACCTTCGGTCTATAAAAATGCTATACTTTGTGTGTGAAAACAGAACACAGGTTTTTAAAAAAATTCACATATACACATACACATTCATTCTCAGTGCCATAATTTAACACTTAAAGTCTGATGATGATTAAAATCAACAAGTTATAGTAATCACCTTTCCAAAATTTGTTCTTAACCAGAAAGGATTAAGTAACATAGTTAACTGGACTCAGAAAAAAAGTTATAGGACCTAGCTTTCTCTTTATATTGTTACAAATTTGAGTCGAGCCAACCTAATATACTTACACAATTCCATATAAAAGGTAATGTATAATGGAGATCCCCAAATTTCTGTTAGAAATGACCTGCAAATTCAACCTTATAAAATTTGAGTATACTCTGGTGTAACACACACAGAGCAAAATAATTCAAAAGAATAGTTATTCTTGAAAAAAAACCTTAAAACAAAGAAGGTTAACAGGGCCACTGAGTTAAGGGTTAGATGAAATGAATATTGGTCTAATTGCCTATTTTGTTGTGACTGCTAACAGTAAATACCACAGCTGGGTGTGGTGGCAAATGCCTGTAATGCCAGCATCTGTGAGTTCGAGGCCAGCCCTCACTACACAGTGAGACCCTGTCTCAAAAACAAAAACAAAACAACAAAAAATGCCAAAATACTACAGAAGACCATATTCTTGTTTTCTATAATCACCCTAAATTCTAACAAAAACAGTACCAGTCCAGCAATTTTTAGGTTATGAAACACTATAAATGTTATCTCATTTGATCCTCACAATATCCAGTGAGGTAGGTTTGGACCAAAAATTGTCTTCTACTCATTTTATACTGAAGAAATCATAACATAAGAAATTAAATGACCAGTCCACTTGATATCATAATTATGGATCCTTAAATTCCCAAGCCCGGTAGAATTTTATTATGTTAGATTATGTAAGTCATTCAAATATGATTATACCTAAATGCATCTTTGGCATGTCAAAAAGCAATATAAAAAAATCACCAGAAGGAAATTTTGGTATAATAATGTCTTCTAAGTTCTAGCCAATGATCCGCTGTTTCATCAAAAATTGTAGTTACACTTATATCATGGCCATAAAGTCTGATCTACAATGGATACAATTTCAGTTATTTCCAGGAGGTAGGAAGTAACTACCTCTGATGAGATTGGTTAAAATGCAGTGAATTTTTCTAATTTGAAAAGATTCTTAAGAATTTTTATAAATCGGCTTTAAAAAGCAGCAGAAAGGTGTGCTAGAAATTTTATTCACTTAAATGGTGCACAGAGCTCTAACTTAGCATGAGCCTAACAAGAGCTTAATCTCTTATTTCTGAGAGTCACTATTCACTTTTAAAAACCAATTTAAAAGTTTAGCAACATGTACATATATTTCTTTCATTAAAACAGTAATATTACTCTAGGAGAAATAAGCTTCATTTGGTGTAATTTAAGCATTTCTAACTCATTTCACTTAGTTTAAATTTAAGTCTCATGATGTGGGGCTGGGGATTTAGCTCAGTGGCATAAGTGCCTGCTTTGCAAGTGCATGGTCATGAGTTCAATCCCTGGTACCGATATAAAAAAAAAAAAGTTTCATGATGTGAGCTGTTCATGAATTTAAATACTTATTAAAAACCTTACTACATGCTAAGTTCTGTGCTGGTTGTTGGGTTGTTTTTTGAAACAAATTATTGTTTTGAGCCAGTACTGTCTTAAATCTTTTACCTAATTCCTGGATAAAACAATATTACTGAAATCAAAGTACTTTTTAAAAACTTTTAGATTATATATTAACTTTCAAGAGAAAACTATTGTTTCCTTAGTTGTCAACTGTACAAATAAAACATTAAACACAAATTAAAGTTAAAGACATGGCAATAAAACTCTCCTGACTTGTTCAAGTTGGCTGAATCCAGTTGAGACTTAATATTGTTGTTTTGCAATAGTCCTTCGATGGTCTCTTTAAAAAGAAAAATTAATTTGAACACTAGCTTGACAATAATATAGTCCAAACTGTTTCTTAAAACAATGAATTAATAATGTCATATAAATTTTGTAGAACAAAATTAAAATACTACTGAAAGGTCAATATAGCATTCACATATATACCAACAATTTGTTTAATAGAGAAGATACAAATAAATGTATCAAATCTGGAGGCATAAAGTTAAGGTTTTCATAGTAGTATTCACTTAACTGTTTATATACTTGGCCCACTTACACAAGAATACCAATTAACATTTTGGCAGTTAATAATACAATGCAGATGGTGATGGATGACAACATCTTTGAGCTCAAACTGGTAACTTCTATTTTAACCGCTTATTTTTGTTTATGGATGTTTGTTTTGGTTTTTCATGCTTATGATTATCGACAGAAAGCTTCCTGAATTATTGACTTATTTATCAATAAATTATAATTTGGGCCTTCAGAGAAAGAGTCTACTGTCAGTTATGAGGGAATTCAGAAATTTTCTATTTGAGTGCTAACTGTAGTTCCAAGAAGACAAGGACCAAGTAAAAAGTATAACATTTTGGGTCAAGTGTGCAAATATATCTTAGGAAAAATTAATGTCAGAATTTATGTACTTTGAAGGAATCAACATGATACAAAAATAAATTATAGCTATTAGAAAACTGATTTTTCTGCCTCATAAAAACTTTTTTCCTGATACCCAATTTCTTGGTAGCCTTTGTCTTAAAAGAGGGAGGGAGAAATATACACACAAACTAAACCTAAGTCAAGAAATGTACTACTATGGTCCTCAAATAAACCTCTTAGATCATTGGTAATCTGAATCCCTCATATTTCATAATCCTTTACAAAGTTTTCAAAAGAACTTTTGCATGATTGTTTTCATTTGACCTTATTAATTTGTCAACTTTGTGAGGTAGGTAGAGTAGAAATTTATCTTCAATCTTCATTTTCAACAAGGAGACCCAGGCTCAGAGAGGCTTACTTGTTAAAGGTCAAAAACTAGCGTATGGCAGAGCCAGGCCTCCCTAGAGGCTGCAATATTTTTTCTAAGTGTGATTCCTGGATTACCTGTGTAAGAATCACTTGTTATTTTTATAAATATAGATTTTAAAGTCCTACCACCTTTGGCTTATTGAATAAGAATCCCTAGGAGTAGAGCTGAGAATTCTGCACTTTATAATAATAAAGTAGAAAACAACTGTGTATCAAGTAATGACATGTAACCATATCATTGAATCCAGCTAGATTTCATGTAGTTCAGTGTGATTCCATGAGATCATCACCAGGCAGGGCAAGTGAGTTTAAAACAACAGGTTTCAGGCCTGGCTGCAACTTAGAATCATCAGGAAAGTTCATTTTCTTTTTTAAAAATTGAACTAATATCTTTCCTTAAGTCATCCTTACCTGCAGTCGGGGTTGAGGATCACTTGCATTTTCTACATAATACATCCAACGTTTTCCAGGAATTTTCTATTCTTTCTAATCAGTTTCATGCCTCATAGAATTCACCACCACACTGTAAGTTATTTAAACTTTACAAGATAAAATTTCAAACTTTTTGACTTGATAGTTTTAAGATTACTAGATATGCATAGCAAGACTAATCATGCTCCATTTAGCTACAATGATTTTCAAATACCCAAATTAATCACCACTTTTGGCTTAGAGAATATATTTCAGCTTTAAAAAAGGATGGTCCAGAAACTAAAATTAGGGATGTGGAGCAAGAGTTGCAGCCCACTGGCTACTGGCAATGCAAGAGCAGACGACCAGCTCACTACAGGAGGGGCCTGGGTACCAGGGTACAGTGGCTTTGGCAAGGTCACTGACATCACTGTAGAAAAGTACAACAACGAACACAGAGAAAATATTTTGCCATTTTGTAACTGTGATTATCACAAAAAGCCTTATAATGTGTGATGCTTATTACATGCCTCACAGCATATCTGAACATGAAGTTTTCTATGAATCAATAATGTAACCTGGGAAAAGATGGCTACAAACTAAAATTTTTCCATCATGCAAATGGATAAGTTATAAAAACAGCCAGTAAAAGTAATATTTACAAAAGTAAAAAAACCAACACAATTACAGGGGGAAAATGCCCATCTCCGCTTTTATTCCACTGCTAAACCAAATCTTGAATATCTCCAAATGAAGTATATTTTGACAGAATTTTGAGACTAACCAGATTCTTCTGTTGACTTAAATTCTATTAGTGAAAATACCCTTGCTGATTTATCAAATTCTCCTATAGTTTAAAAACAGTTCTTTTCACTTAGTGGAAATAAAACTACAAAGACCTGCTATTCATCTGAGAAATAAACCTTGCATAGAAAATTTCTTTAATTCTGAAACTTTGTGTTATTAACAGAGCTACCAGAATGTTATCTCACAACTAGTTCATCTTATACGAAAGTTCACTACAAAGCAATCACCACACATTAGGATCTTTCTAAATATAAAATAAGTGGGTTTATAAAAATGCTTACCAGACAAATAATTATCTCTTCACAACCTAGAAAGAATTATTTCTGTGATGTAATTCTTAGTGTTTCGGATAGCTTGATGTTCCGAGTTTGACTCAATATAAAAAGCAAAAATTTACCTTCCCGATGGACACACGTTGCACCTGACTGAAAGGAGGGTAACAGTGAGTTACAGCCACCAGTCATGCAAAGGCAAAGAACAGAATCTGCTTTTCATGTAGCACGACTTTTCCACCTTAGACAAGACACCTTAAGCACTGGTTCCATCCTCTTCAATAACCCGATTCATGCTGGTGCCATGTGTGATGTGAGTCATGGGATTGTTGCTGAGGTCTCTGATGCTGCTGTGCCGCGACTGTTCGTTCAGCCGGTGGGAACTGCTGTGCCGGGAGTGGTCCGTCAGGCGGGACATGCTGCCGTGAGGTAGTCTCTCCTCCATCCCTCGGTAGCTGCAGGGGGTGTACCTGTGGTGGGAAGGTTGATTTTGAAGCAGGTAACAGAACACACCAGAAATTCCCATATTTTTCATGAAATGAGTAAGAAACCAATCATGGGAATGCAACAACCATTTTTGATTGCTACAGGTTTATTAAGGCTGTATAAACTGTCTGACATGGATAACAAAAAAGGGGAGTAACCTCAGATTCTGGGATAAGGCTCTATTGCCTGCCAAAAGACAAATGCTCAGGTTTAATAAAGCTGACTCCCTGGAGCTTTACTAAGTATGGATACTTTCTCCTTGAAGTAGTGGGGTAGGTTGAGGGAGAGGAAGAACACCAGCAGAACAAATGAGGCACTGCTCTGAGCAGTAGAAGACTGGTTATGATCAGCAGACATGCAACCTCAGATTTACTACAAGACGAGGGCCGGAAGACAGACCATGGAGAATCACAGGTGAAGTTAGTGAATGAACTGGCAAGTGCGGAGGACAGTGTGTGCCAATGGCTTCTTTCTGGACAGCCTGGCGAACAGTGGAACTGGCCACCTTAGGGGCCCCGAGACGGTGAAGACCGCTCTCACCGAAGCTACATCCTAACCCTGAGCCTACTGCACAGTCCTGGCAGCCTTGAGAAGTCCACTTTGAGCTCTGAAGCTCCTCCACACAGCGTGTTCCCATTTAGACTGAAAGGCAGCACTGCGGCCGTCACATTTTTTCTTCTTGAGATCCTCACTCACTGAACCCCTCCAGAGGCAAGAATATTGTAAAATTCCCGGTCACAACGAATGGGGTGTTATTAGGTCTAGGCCCATCAAGGTCAAGAAAGTCAGCAACAATCTTTTATTAGTCCTTCACTTATAAAGCTAATGTGCTATTTATTAATCTTTCTGGTTTGACCGCAGACTCTCTCAGGGTAAGGGCTGTATTTTATTTCTCTTATAATCTCTACTGCTTCAAGAAATACTTTTCTAAAATATTTTCTGTTCACATGCTCATATATTCTTTTACATTTAACTTAGGATAATAAAATGCAAATAAAATGGAGTATAATTTATAATTTCAATGAATACATTTTTAGTTTTGTTTTATTTTTGCAGTGCTAGGGAGCCACCCAGGACCTAGAACCTGATATGTAGTTTTCTCTGGGAGTCCTCTTGATGGGTTCATAGGTCTTTCTCCTTTAAATGGCTTCATGAAAATCTATTTCTAATAAATACAGCAAACTACACAGTATTCCAGTAATGACAGAAAATCAGTTGAAAAATAAGAACAAATCACCATTTGAAAGTATGGATGGGTATGTTCTAACAATATATGTTGCAATTATAAGTAAAACTGAAAGTATATTTTTTACACTAAAATATATATATATATATATATATATATATATATATATATATATTTCACAAAAAGTTCTTCAATATGAACAAATACCAAATATGAACATCCTGCCTCTGGATAATTAGGAATCAACTAAATAGAAAATTAATTAAAGTATTTAATCTAAATTGTGTATGTAGGAATTAACGAATTTATCTTTTGAAAGTCATTTAAATTAATGTGACTATACATTCTAATATGTAATATGAGAATACAGTAATTTTAATATAAGCTTAGGCAAAACAATGAAGAGGCTCATTTTGCTGTGGCTGTTAAAAAGATATTATTGGACACACTAAAATCAAAATGGTAAGACTTGGAGATGATTTCTTTTTGATTCTCCATGCCATCTGCTCCTGCTAATCTAGATACCTGGATTTACAGTAGTTTTGTGATGTCTCGTTAGACACTTCCTGGCCTTCCCTTGGCATGTCACCTACTTCCCCACCCTATCACTTTCTCCCAAACCTCCACTTACTTACTCTGCCATTTTCTCTGTTACCCACCCTTCATCTCACTGACAATTAGTTATTCTTTGAAGTTGACAAGAAGAGTGTAGGTGTGCTGTACACAGCACAAGACCAATAATTACCATTTAGGATTCTGTAACAGGGTAGGTGCTGGGGTCTGAGTCCCACAGCCAATATATCCCGAGATGATGACAGGGGCCCAAAAGATAGCACCACACGTCAAGTCAGCGTTAACTGAAGCAGAAAGAGGTCTCTAGGAGGTGGCTTTGGAATTATGAAAATCCTTGGTCAGACTTTTAGGTTCAACATAATCTTGATCTCTCCAATCTTTCCTGAAGGTCTGAGTGTGGCAGAGGGTTCTAGAGTAGCAGTTCATGTACCATAGTTCAGCAGGCCGCTCTACAGTTTGGGGCCCTGAATTTCTGGGAAACTCCCATATTACTCTTGAAGTCATTATAAATACATATGTGTATCTCTCTATCCAGTGCTGTGCTACACACCGAAGAGGAATACAGAGGTGTATATCATCGACTCTCATTCTCCAGAAGCTACAAATTTGGCAGAGGAAAGAAACTACTGAAAGCAGCATAACCAAAAGAACGATAAAGACAAAAACCAGAAAATTAACTGCCACAGAAATTGGAAACCAGGAGCCTAGAGAATGGGTGTGATTCTGATTAAGCAGAAAGGCAGAAGTCGTATTTTGGTCTCTGACTCTCACACCATGCACCTGTAGCACAGCTTTCTTTATGTGGCTGTAAGCACATTCTTTGCCCACTGTTTTTCTTCCTGTAATTCTGAGAAAACTGAGGTTGCAAACACTGCGGCTTTTAGGTACTAGTATTTTCATTCAGTTTCCCAACCTTATAAAAAGGGAAGAAAAATCTTTTTTCTAGCAGCTAATATGAATCCGTCACCAACACCCATCATTTCTTCTATGTATCTTTGCAATCAGTTCTTCCTCTCTTCCCACTGTCACTGCCTGCAGTACACTTGGTCACCTCTCAAATGTCTTCCCGCGAGGCTCCGAAGCAGTTTCTACTATCATTGTCTTAATCCTCTATATTAACAAGACAGACGTCCCACAAGTGTTCTTCTATAAGCAGTGCCTGAAACACTCTCCCCACCGGAATACTCACTCCCTTTGTTCTTCTACTGTGCCTAATAAACATGGGCCAGAAAACCATGGCCTCATGGCCAAAGCTGCGCTCCGTCGGATTTTGTAAATAGTGTTCCTGGGTTATAGTCATTCTCATTTGACTACAAGCTGCTTTCAGGCCACAACAGCAGAAATGAACAATGAATGGCCACAGACACAGGTGACTCACACAGCCTAAAATGTTTACGATCTGGTTCTATGTTTGAAACAGTTTGCTGATTCCTGGACTCTACTATGGGACCTACATTTTACTTTAACTAAAAAGTGCTATTCGATAATTGTGGTAGTGTTCCAAGTGACAAGGTGGGTTTCCTTATTTAATTTTTATATTACAAAGGGTCAGATGCACTATTTCTATTTGGTAGATCAGGAAGCCGAGACTTACTTTTCAGACTCATGCACTTAAATCACCACGTTGGCTACACCAGCTTTCTAAACAGACTGGGAGCTTAGGAAGAGCAAAGATCATGCCTCAGTCATCTTTGCATTCCCAGGGGCTAGCACAGGCAGGTATTTTGTCATTTTTACTGAATTAATCTTACTAATCTTTTCCCTGCTCAGCGCCCCATGATGACTCCATATTGCTTACTTTGCTGTATCTAATCTAAGTTCTAAAGTCCTCTAACTGGCTTTATGTCTGAAAATAATCTGGGCTGAGTCTATGCAGCAAAGTTGAGAAGCCTTAATGCCATTCAGCCTCTGCTTCCATGTCGGCCACTCTTCACTCAGCACAGGAGACCCACCTGCCATCACGCGATCGGTGGAGGCTGCCATGGTAGCTGCTCACTTTGCTGTGGACACTCCCTGCTTTGCTCCTTTGGTCATCCACCATAGCCAGCTGAGTTGAAGATGCGTGTGTGGATGTTCCCTGGGTGGATGTTCCTCTGGATTTTCTTATAATAGGAGTGTTTGGGTCCCTCAGGAGCGACTGGGCGAAGTCAGGCTCCTGGAGCACCTGCCGGCTCTCATTCACTATCCTAGAAAATACAATAATGTGTTTAAGATACAGACTAACAACCCAGTATAACAGACCAAAAATACTGCTGTGCAACACTGACACTATTCTTGAAATTAATTGGCCTCCAAATTAGGCCATTAGGACCAATTCAGGGTTAACAGAGGAAAGAATTACAAGAAAAACCCATGTCCATTTGTGCCCTAAAGTGCCCTAAAGTGTCAATTTGTACAATGGAAAGAGGCCTGTGCTAGAAAAAACAAATCAGGATTTTAGTTCCAAGTCTATCAATAAGTATGTGATTTTAGGCAAATCACTATCCCTTCTGCCTTCTATTTTCCTCAACTAAAAAATGAAGGTATACCCTAACTTCACCCTTTCTAAAAAGGTCTCTTGTTTTTTTTTGGGGGGGGGGTTTAAAGGTCTCTTTTTTAAGTTAAGGAATTTTATAATTCTTAGGACACCAAAACATTACAAAGACTAAGTTCTAGGCATACTAAAAGCCAAGGAAAAAAATATTTAAAGGGATGAATTATTGTCAAGAGCAAATTTTTAACTGCTATGAAAGGGTTAAAAGTAAATGTTTATGACAATGAACAGCAATTAAATAAAAGCAAATTAAATAGATCTTTACGTGTGTGTTTGTTTATGTAAGTGACTCCCTATGAGAACCAGAATTAAAATCACATAAACAATCTCACTAAAAAATAAGACTCCAACATGTACAGACTAGATCACATATTGAGAAAGTATATTCTAATTTGCAAACTACAAAAGTTTTGCTGTTATTTTTGGTAATAGGGTAGAAGGGTTGGAGAGCCACTAATATTTGTTGACTATAAACATTCTCTGATTTTCTTGATAATGTTATTTTTAAAATTACTGTATAATAAATCACAAGTAGGTAATGATTAAGTCCTTATACAGAGAAAATATACCTTTGTTAATCCCAAAGCCAAATGCTTAATGGAGACACCAGAAGCCACTAGATACTCTTTTTTTTTTGGTACCGGGGATTGAACTCATGACCTCACACTTGCCAGGTAGGTGCTTATACCGCTGAGCTAAATCCCCAGCCGAAATATTCTTATTAAAACCCAAAATATAACAGTATGTAACTGCTATCACTCTTAATTAGCCTTGTTTCAACAGCTCCAAACTGCAATTAGACAGAAGAAATAAATTAAGGTTATAATATTTTTACGTATATTAAGAATAGAATAATAGTCTATCTGTCTATATCACTTTTGGTATATTTGGCAGAATAATAGACAAATGCAAGTGAAGTTTATCTCTCAACATTAAATACCTGTGTGTCTCTGGCCAGGTACTTAACTTCTGTCCTATCTTTCTTACCTGTAAAACAGAGTTGAGAACACACACCAACTTTCACAGGACTATCAGGAGGATCAAGTAAAAACTTATAGAGAAGAATTAATTTGTTTTTAATTTTAACAAAATTATATTTTGGATTTTTTTTCACAAAGATCAGCTTTGCTTCAGATATTCTGAATTAGTAAAGGAATAGACCTCAGGCATGGCTCCACTTGGCCATCTCAAAATCAGACTTTGGATTTTAATTATGAAATGATATTGTGCCAATCATAACTGGTGGCTGCTGTCAAAATTACAATCTTGTGTGAACACTTAATACTCCAAATCCAAACTGTTTTAACATAAGCAACACGAAAAAACTGACTTGTGAACACTGAGAATTTATCAACTTACTCTTTTTTCCTACGGCCATGAAAAAAACTGGCCCATTCAAAGCATGTCTTTTTGCTTCCAACCCAAAAAATTGAAGGAATACCAACTATGAGAGCCATCAGGTACTTCATCAGAAAGAGAATCAGGTCTGGACGACTCATCTGAGTAACCTGCAAGAGGGCAGAGAAAAATCTCTCAAATATAGAAAATGAACTATTAAAGGCCGTTCTAAAAAATTTAAACAAATTAAGTGACAGTAAAATAATTCTACAGATTTAACATTTTCACTTATGAGGTTCTGTGGTGATTTTATGATATACCCCCCAAAATATGACACTAAGCTTATATTCTATGTATTCAACTATACTCTAAACATATTTTTGTATTTTTCTTATTGGCTGACAGTAATATCTGCTGAAGAAAGTTTGCTCATGTAGAAGATAACCCTTGGGGAGGCCTAGACAGCTATTTCTGCTTGGCCAGTATCACCAGTAGAAAAGCCTTACTCTCCTCCCCCACCTTATTAACTGTTTTTATTTTCAATCTGCCCTCCCTTCTCCCTTATGTCCCATGTACTCTGTAGGCTTTTTTAGAGTTCCTCATTATAGACCATGACTTAGTTAAGAGTACATTTTCTAGTTCCTAGTCAGTCAAAGTTTTCTTGTTATTGCTCATTTCAAGTTTAATTACTATAGTCAGAGAATATGGTGTGTATGATTCTGGTTACTTAAAATTTTCGAGACTTCATGATGACTTAGGACACAGTTAATTTTTGTATTTCTTGGGGGCTCTAAATTCTCTATTGTAGGGTAAAAAAATCTATATTAGATTAAATTTATTATTTCTGTTGTTCAAACTTTTTTTTCAAACATTTTACATAGATTTTCTGATTTTGCCATAACCACATGTTATACTCAGGGTTTGCAAGGAAACAGATTGAATATAGGACAAATAATTTATAGAATTATTTTATAATATTCATTCAAAGAGTCAAAAGCGGAAGAGTACAACAGAATCTGTCCATGTACTAGAGACCCAAAGAATCCAGCTGTGGGCCTGGACCCCATGGCAACGTCCTCCATGAGTCCAGCTGGAGGCCTAGGGCCCACATGTCTCACGCAAGTCTGTTTCCAGGATCTGTGCTGGAAAGGCCCAAAGGACAGTGGTGGAAGCTGGAAAGCTTGCATCAGCAGGGCAAAGAGGATCTGTGGCAGCAGGCTGAGAGGTCTGCACTGCAGCTAGGAAGCAGCGCTGAAAGTAAGGACTTGGCGCCCCAGAAAAGAACCACAGCCAGTCTCAGTGAGGACGCTGAGGTCCTAGACTCTTCTGACTGTTAGAACAGCCGAGTCCATACCAGGAAAACCAGCGTGACAAGCTTCTCCACAAGAATCGATAGCGCGTCTTTCCTTCCAGTTCTTTAATGTTGTTGGCAACAATTCTCAAGTGGGCCTCCACGCCCCGCACCACGCTCACTCAGTTCAGCTGGATTTTTTTTTTTTTTTTTGTATTTTTCATTTTTATTGGTACCAGGGATCGAACTCACGACCACCTGCTTGCAAGGCAGGTGCTTATGCCGCTGAGCTAACTCCCCAGCCCCCTGTTCAGCTGGATGTTACAACTTGATCATTAGTCAATGCAGCACACCATGCCTGTACAGTATATTAGTTTGTTTACTGAGCTCCTATGCAATACACAGTTCCACAATTCTCAGCATGTTAACTGAAGCCTTGTTGAGTAGAACAAAGGTACTATTGATGATCCGGTGAGGGTAAAGGAATTGCAGCACTGGGCTCACACCACTCAGACACCTGATCCCGATGACAAACACCAATTTGGATTGTGCAGGTACACAGATGTTGCTTGATTTTCCCACCATCCTTGCCATTCAAGTCTCAGTTCTATACATCTGTCTATGCTTCTAAAGACAGCCCTTGGCTTTTTCACAGATGGGCTTCCTCCTCGCCTTTCCAAGCATTTTGAGGGTAAATTTCTTTCTTAGGCACTTTACCTTCACCTGAAGAATGACTTCTTTGCTTTTTCTCAAGAGTTGGTAGCACGACAAGAAGATTCTTTTTCTTCTCTTCAACACTTTCAACTTCCCAGGTGGAAAAGAGCTCTTTTACGTTTTTGTTTTATAGTTGCACTGCACTGAATGTTTCTCATTGCGGCTGACTTTTATTTCTCCTGTTTAGTATTCAGATTTTACTTTTAATCTGAGGACTCAAGTTTTCAACTCTAGAAAATTGTCAGATCTTGGCTTTTTGGCTGTTGCTTCTCAGTCATTCTTATAGGCTCTTCTACAGTTCCTATTTATTGTACACTAAAATCCCTCAACATCCCTTAATTACATAATTACGTGATCGAGGGGTGTGTGTGTGTGTGTGTGTTTTGGTCTTTTTATTCTATTTACTGATATAATGTCTGTAATTTTATACTTCACTTTTTTTTTTTTAGATCGGTACCAGGAATCGAACTCACAACTGCCTGCTTGCAAGGCAGGTGCTTATGCTGCTGAGCTAAATCCCCAGCCCCTATACTTCACTTCTAAGATGTCTTATCAGTTCTTATACTCATCTATTCCAACTTTATTTCTGGTTATCATAATTTCTTTTTCTTTAAAGTGGTTTTTATTATTTATATTTTGGAGAATCTTAACCATAATTATTTATAAATAAGTTTTTAATAAAATCAGCCTATTCTTTCATCTGATAGTGAATCTATCTTCATTATTTATTCTGTTAGATGTCTGTTTAGCTTTTTTCTTTTGCTTTGGGATTACAGTCTGCAGGTCTGTTGAGAATTCTGTCTTTCTTTTTATCTCACTCTTCACATTTCCGTAACTGTCTCTTACCCTTTCATTTGTCTTTATCAGTGGGGCCCTGGTCAAAAAGCAGCTCACCTACTACTGGTGACTAGATTTCATCGGTGTCATTGAAGTTTGGCTCTAACATTGATCTTCAGGCTCTCCCATGTCTCTAGGACTGCATTTTTGGTTTTGTTTTAATATATATATATATATATATATATATATATATATATATATATTCCTTGGGGAAACTTTCATATCTCCTGTCCTACAGGAGCAGAGGTGTCCTACTTGCAATTCTTAATCAGTGGGCTAATTATGGCCTCCTGATTTTCATGTGATCTTTCTTTCTTTCTGTCTCTCTGTCTACCTTTCTTGCAGGGCCTTCATACTTCACTACATCTTTAGCTCTTTTTAAACTTTTTGATATAGGGTTTTGCTAATTGCCCAAGCTTGCTAAACTCAAACGTGTGATCCCTCTGCCTCAGTCTCCCAGAATGCTAGGTGTATATTCATCATTCCTGGCTTTCTTATTGTTTTCACTTTATATTACTGGAACACAATGTGGCTGGTCTAATAAATTAAAAAGATATAAATCTGAAATTAACTTCAAAGTTTCACATAAAAATCACCCAACAAATACCTGTGGATAGTTTACTACTCTAAGAATAACCTGATAGAAGAGAGGTTTGACAGGTATTCTCTTCATGCTGGTAGAGGAAATACAAATAAAGAAGGCACAGAATTAAGAACTACAACCAGGTAGATGAAACAGTTCACAAACTTGTTAGCAAATACAATGGTTTATTTTTGGCACATCTTTTCTAACATTTCTACAGATACCAGTTATCAATGATCATTTTATAGTCTAAAACATTACATCTCCCTGACTCCCCACTCCTGCTCTTTCTCTTACCCTCTTCTTCCCTACCACTCTTCTGTCTATATATTCTTCACTGATCACTTAGAAATCATCTAGTTGTAATCTTCACCTAACAAGTGAATTTGCTTTCAACTTAGCTTTGTTCTATGAGTGTAAATGGTGTACAGTGCTGATAAAATACAAGCTTGCTGTGTCCGTGTTCAAACAGCTCCTGATGTTCTGCCCAAATGCTGTCCTGAGAGCTGTAAAGAATAAGGCTACAGCTCCCATTCCAGAAGTCCTAGTCAACTCAGTAAGATACTGTGCCAGAAACAAAACTAAGAAAATACAATTAAGTATTAACAATAAAACGTGGTGTTTTAAATAAATGGAACATGATTGTTTAATAAGGGATATTGGAAAGGTTTGTGATCCCATACTTTTGGAAACAAAATAATTCAGATGCCACCTTATGTAATTTAAAAAAAGACAACAGGCTAGCCAGAAAATCCAAAGACTTAACTGCATATCTAAGAGAAACAATCAAAGTGCTCAGTAAGTAAAATGGACAAGATAAAGAAAAAAATCATGTTCCCTTACACATCATCAAAAAACAGTTATGAAACATAATGAAAATAATTTCATTTATAATATCAACAGAAATTATAAAAATCCAGAAATAAAACCAACAGGGAATAAAAAGAAAACAATGATACTCTACTGAAGGACATAGAGAAAACCTGAATGGAGATCTATTTTATGTTCCTTCATACACAGATTGAATGTTTTGAAAACATCAATATATCTACTCCCAAATTAATCCTGTGCACTGAATACAACCCCACAAGATGAACAGAATATTTTCACAGAACTTGGAAAGTTACGTATATGGCAAAATGTGGTATTTCAGAAAATAGACTAAGACTGTTTAATACAAGTTACCGGGAAAGCTTGCAAGCCAGTACTTTTAGAAACAAAATAATGTAGATGACACCTCACACAATAAAATTCTACACTGAGAGGAATAAATCATAAAAGGATAAAAATTTCTATCTAGAGTGATGATGCATAAATTTTAAAAAAGTAACATGAAAATAAAAAGCCATAAAAGAAAGATAGATTTGACCACTAAAAATTTAAGACTTCTTCAAAATAAGAAAGCATCAAATTAAGAGACTAGGGCTACAGATGGGGCTCAGTGGTAGTTCTTGCCCTACATGCACAAGGCTCTACGTTAGATCCCCAGCACCACAAAAAAACAAAACAAGCAAACAAACAAATTAATAGACTAGGAAGTAGAAAACCAAGTGTATTATCAATTAAAGCAAATCTAAAGAAAAGAAAATGACTTTTGTATCAAATGTAAGAAACCAGACTTCCATAAACCCAGTTAGTTATCTATAAAAATGATAGACAATTCTCTAGCCTGATCAAAACACAAAAGGAATGAAAACAACAAAGACGGACAGAGGCAATGAGGAAACAGGTATAAACTGAGCAAA